ATTCCATTTTTCTTAGCAGACTGGGCACTGATCACTGGTTCATGTATTAAACAGTTCCCTTTGTCTGAAACCTTGTTTTCCTGACAATCCTAGTCTCCCTTAATGCCTAATTAAAATGTTACTTGGGGGCCAGAGGCGTGGCTCAAGCAGTAAGAGTGCCTGCCTAGCACGCTGGATGCCCTGAGTTCAAATACCAGTACGACCAAAAAAATGTTACCTAGATAACACCTTTAAAATCCCCAGACAGAATTACTTCCAGTACTTTATGTGTTGTTTTTATCACATGCCATTGATTCCATTTAGGCTATATTCTCATATACAAAGTGCCTGTCATTGTATCATCAGGGTGTAGCATAATGTCTGGCTATATTCTCATATACAAATATATATGTATATTCTCATATACAAAGTGCCTGTCATTGTATCATCAGGGTGTAGCATAATGTCTGGCGTATTATTACTCACTAAACGTGGAACTAATGAAAGAATGAAGATAGAGCAAAAAATGTGTAGGGGATGTTGGGTAGATTAGACAGGTGATTTAGTTCCCCTTGATTCTGTTCCCACTGCCCATATAATTAAAGACTAATTATATGGAATGACAGAATACGATGTAATAAGAGCAATGGCTTTAGTGTAGAGCTACGTCTGGACCTACAGACCTTGGAAAGTAACCTCTGATCTTTATCTTCCACATTGTGCACTGGGGATAATAAGAGTGCAAACCCTATAACAAAACTGGTGATTTAACAAGTGTCTAAAAGATGAATGGTCCCTGCGATTAGAACAGAGACTCGGAATTAAAGCTTCCATGCATCTTTTTCCAACACCAAAAAAGTATGCACCGTTCTAAGTTGCTTCCTTTAGAGGAAGCCAGTGTGGCTAGGTCTTGCTGGATTCCCTCCACACTACCTCAAAAGTGTTCCCATCCATTCACGAGACAACTGAAATCTCAGAAAACTAAAGGGTAAGGTCATCCTTAGTGACTTGATTCGTCTTGGTCTTAGTATCAAGGGAAGCCCTGTGACCAGGTGGATATGCAGAGGAAGGATTTGTCACTGGGCCCAGGAAGTGTCCCTGTCACAAAGCCAAACCGACACCCAGCAACTCAAGTAAGGCAACGAATCAGTGCGCTGGCGCAGCAGAGTCCTGGGAGGCAGAGTGGGGAAACAGCGCTTGCACAGAAGCGGGCAGACGTGCGCTCAAGCCCCGCCCCTGCCGAGCTGCGCCTGCGCAGTCAAGAGCGCAGCAAGCAGAGACCACGCGTGCGCGGTCGTGGCCGAGGAGGCTGCGGTTCCTCTTCGGAGATGGAACTAGTGGAGGAGCTGAACAAGCTAACGTCAGCCGAGGGTCGGAACCGGAAGGCGGTGCTGTGCCAGCGTTGCGGCTCTCGGGTGCTGCAGCCAGGGACCGCCCTCTTTTCCCGCCGACAGGTAGGGAGGCTGATTAGAGGTCTCACACGCTTACCCTCGCCGAGCCGCCGAAACCGTTGCAGAAGACCTCGCCACTTTCCGCGCATTCCCCTAAGCTCCGCCCTTCTAGCGTGAGGCCCCGCCCCTCTGCCTCTGCTCGGTGAGGCTCCGCCCCTGTGGGCCCGGGAATTGGGCGAGATACTGTCCCCGGACATTGCATCATTTTCTGTGGAGGAGGTTCTCCCGTGGCCTTGCACGTGACGGTGGCTCGCCAGGGACGGTTCCCTGGCCTTTCCCCAGGTCCCGCGAGCGCGGGCAGTGCACCCCTGCGCGCCCTGGGGCTTGGACGCGTGCTCCTGAGAGGGGAGCCCCCCTCCCGAGCTGCCTTGACTTTTGGCCAACCTGCCAGGCCCCACAGGTGCATCTTTCAGGCGCCGCTGTGTCCCCGGGGCACCCGCCCCGCAACCTCATTGCTGACATTCTGCCCACAAAGGAGCTCCAGAGACAACTTTGGTGGAGACGCGAGAGTAACTCCTGGTGCACATTTTTCCTGGTGCACTGCAAGCTAGATTTCAAGACAAATCATAATTCAAATAGGATGAACAGATATCAGAAGCTCTGGAAGTACATCTCGAAAGAAGATATATTTTTTTCTTCAGTTTAGGACTGGGGATCGAACCCAGGGGCTCGTGCATTTAGGCATACACTAAACCACTGAGCTACATCCCCAACCAAGGTTGAAAAAAGTTTTCATTTTGGTAAACTTTTTATTCAAGTGTAACATACCTGTAGGAAAGTGCAATCTGACTTTAAGCTTGTTACTTTAAATGATTTCCAAAATATGCAGATCGTTTTGTTATTTCGTGTGGATGAACAGATGGTGAAGTGTAATGTCCAATGTAGGAGTAAGAAGCACTTGTTCTCCAGAAGCACATTCCTTTTCATAAAAGAAGGAAAAGAAGTATCAAAGAATTGGTGTGTTCCTTGGTCTGTTTGTAAAATTTGCAAGGCTTGGAAATTCATTTCTCCTAGGTGTTTCTATTTTTGCTTTTTTGAGGGAGTGTTTCTCCATGGAGTGCAGACTGACCACAAACTCACGATCTTCCTGCCTCTGCGTCACAAGTCACAGTGTATTTTACCAAGTTGATGGCAGTGAACACATACATGGAATTGAGTCCTGATCTCACCATTCATTTGCACTGGAAGGGTTATTTAACCTCTACAAACTTGAGGTTGCTCATTCTGAAAAAATGAAGAGATAGGGAAGAATTCGTATGAAAACATTTAGCACTGTACCTCGTTTATAGTGTATATATAGTAGACCAGTTCTCCTACTCCTGCCCCATGGCACAGTTGTCTACTTTTATAAATGGACAGATACTAAGAGGTTCCTTAAAGGAATTTATGTTAAATTCTTAAATTTTTTATATATTTTATTTTGAATTGATGTTGCCCAAACTGAGCATATTAAATTATATGTGCTACGTATCATTTTTATGTTTCTGAACAGAGTGACTACTATTCTAGAAAGGAGCCTGGGAATTGTTTTTTATGTGTTTTAATCCCTCCCCCCCCCCACCTTTTTAAGACAAAAACATTTTCTTTGTCTATTTTTTTTTGGTTTTGGTTTTGTTTTACCATGGCTTCAATGTTTCTGGAAATGTACTGTTGTTTTGAAAAGGACTGTTGGGAGAATCCTGTCTACCTGGACTCTACCAGTTCAACTCTGATTCAACCCAGTTCTCCCTTAATGTGAGTCCTAATTTTTCTCCTTTCTTTCCGGAAGTACTACTTCCAAAAAAACATAATTTCTAGGACATGATGTGAGCAGGAAGTTTAGAAAAATCTCATGGAACATTCTCAGTAGTTATTACTCCCTTCCCCTGCTATGTGTCATGTTTTTTAAAGGAAGGAAAAATAAAAGTCCCTGTCCTTATAGAGAACAAATGATTTGCAATGTGAAGGGCACCAAACTCTCTTTTAAGTCATAACCCTGAAGTGCTTCAGAGAACCACATAGGTCAATTACAGAAGGACTATAGTACTCATCTCCAGATGTTAAAGAGGTGTTTCTGGCCACTAAATAAACCTGGAGAAACACAGTGTGTGAGGAATCCTGGGTAGCCCATAAGATTCTCACTCCACCCAGGAAAATAAGCTAGTATACTTTCCAGATGGGATGAATTTCAGAACCAGACTCAGCCATTTCCACCACTGTGGTGATCTAGGGCCCAGAGATGTATTTTACAGTCCATAGTTCTTTAGTCTAAAGCAGTGTGTTTCTGAACTGGGGCAATTTTATCCCCTGAAGGGCAAATTCTGGAGACCTTTTTAATTGTCCCAATCAGTGAGGGGCGTTAATGGCATCGGCATGCAGAAGCCAGGCCTGCTGTGTATCATCCTACCATGCCCAGACCAGGCTTACAGCAGAGTTCTTAGCTCCAAATGTCAGGTGGAGACACCATGGTGCACAGCAGTGCACTATCACACCTATCATCTCAGTTGACCTCATTAAATTATTTGTACTGTTTGCTTACACCACTAGACCATGAGATCCTGTGTTTTTTCCCTGTCTATATCTCCTGTACCTAGACTGCATACACATATGTGAGAATTTAGGAAATATACAGATTTAAATAGATTAATGAATAAAAGGTATTCATCCAGTATAAATAATGGGTTAGTATGGACACAGTGGATCAGTATGCTTTGCTGGCACTACTACTCTACTGTAATCCTAGCTACGGGGGAGGTAAGAGATTGGGAGGATCGTCATTCAAGGCCAGCCTAGGCAAAAAGTTCAGGAGATCCCATTTCAACCAATGACTGGGTACAGTGGCTCACATCTGTCATCCCAGCTAAGCTGTTATTCCAGCTATGCAGGGAAGCACAAATAGGAAGACTGTGGTCCAGGCCAGCTCACGCCCTATCTCAAAAATAACCAATACAAAAAGGGCTAATGGAGGGACTCAAGTGGTAGAAGACCTGCCTGGCCAACACAAGGCCCTTAGTTTAACTCCCAGTACCACCACACTCCCTCCCCTCCCAAACCAAAAAACAAAACAGTAACAAAACCCCCAGTGTTTAGGACTAAAAGTATTTTAGATTTCAAATTTCTTCATAATGAGATATGTGGGGATAAGACCCAAATCTAAACATAAAATGCTTTTGTTTCATATATACCTTTCCACAGTCTGAAGATAATTTTATGCAGTATTTTTGGTGTGCCTGCATTTTGCCTGCAGGTTGTCACATGAGGTAAAATCAGCACCCACAGTGTCATGTCAGTGCTCAAAAGGTTTTGGATAGTGGAGCATTGCGGGTTGGATTTGTAGATTAGGGAACCTCTCACAATCTTACCTAGGGTTTCTGGTGGATGGGATTATAATTAGACTTGACAGGCATGGTGAACAGCAGTGCGATGCTTCCTGGTTGAGAGAGAAGGCATGGTATGTTTGAGGAATTGAGAAGTCCTACTTGGTCAGACATAAAGCACAATAAGAATTGAGGCTGAGGTGGAGAAGAGGTGATGGGAATGGAGGAGGCAAGGGAGCCATCAGGATGAATTTTCACCGTAGGGGTAGACTCTCCTGACTGGGAAAGGATATGGGACCAAAAAGAAGATGGGGCCAGGTGCCTCTGAATCTGTCAGGGCTAGGAGGAGTGTCCAGAGCTCCCTCTGAGAACCAAGGACCATGAAGCATCGCCAGGTGGCAGAATTCTTAAAGGAGAAAGGAGGAGGTGGGGGTAATGATTTGGGAGCTCATTTCTCTGAAGGAGGTGGATTGACAGAGAAGGGCAGGAGCCACTGAGGAGGCTGTGGTGGTGTCCTCAGCAAGAGCCTCATTTCTGTGCAAAGAAAAAGGATACTCCTCAGAGTCTGAAAATGTAGGAGAAGGGAGGTGACATTTTTTTGCCTTTGGGGGGCAGTAGAAAATTAGCCTGTGGAAGGGAAGGTATAGAAAAGGGTTGCATAAGAATATGGGAGCAGAGGACCAGGTCATTTCTTATACAACGAAGTGTGCACTTAACAAAGGACTGGTACTTTGGGGTCTTTTCCACAGAGAAATGAACTTACATTCACACCAAACCTGTACAGGAGCGTGTGTGAGAATTTTATTCATTTTAGCCACAAACAAGAAACAATCCAGGTGTCCTTCAGTAGATGAATGATTAAACAAACTGGTACTTTCATAATATGGAGTACTACTCAGCAATAAAAATGAAAAAAACTTGATTCATACAACTTGGATGAATCTCAAGGGAATTACGCTGAGTAAAAAAAGCCACTCCCAAAAGACCACATGCTGCTGTATTCCATTTATATAACATTCTCTTTCTGTATAACCCAGGCTGCCTTTGAATTCTTGGTCCTCCTACCTCAGCCTCCTGAATGCTGGAATTGCAGACATAAGTCACTGTGCCCAGCCTTTCTTGTTTTTGTTTTTGAGATGGGACTCTGTGTAGCCCAACCTATTCTCAAATTTGCAGCCTTATTTTGGCTTTCCAAGTAGCTGGGATTATAGTTATGCAACAGTGTGCCCACTGTCTATATAATGTTTTTTGAAATGGCAAAAGTTTCGTGGTTACAAGGGGCTAGGAATGAGGAGGGGAGGGCATGAATGTGATTATAAGAGGACAACATGAAGGGTCCTTGTGGGGAAAGAACCATTCACTATTTTGGCAGATATACAAACTTACATATGACAAAATTATATAGAACTAAACACAGGCACAAATGAGCACAAGTTAGCTGGGAGATCTGAATAAGATCTATGGATTGAGGCAGTGTTGTGTCCTGGTTGTGGCGCTATACTACACTTTTGCAAAATTTTACCTTTGGGGGAAACTGGGTAAAAAGGTACATAGAATTTCTGTGACATTTCTCATGACTACATATGAACCAACAGTTATCTATTGAAACTTTCATTTGGAAAAATCAGGACAGGAAATGAAACAAGCCAGTCACAGAAGAACAAATGCTGCACGATTCCACTTATATGAGGTACTTAGAGTAGTCAAATTTATAGAAATAGAAAGTAGAATGGCAGTTGCCATTTTACAGCCCAGAGAAGGGGAAAAGGGGTCTGGGGCACAGGAGTTACAGTTTGATGGGTACAGAGTTTTAGTGTGAGAAGATGAAAAGTTCTGGAGATGGGTGATGATAATGGTAGCACGACATGTCACTAAATGCTACTAAACTAAATGCTTAAAAGTAGTCAAAATGATAAATTTTAAATTTTATGTATATTTTGCCACAGTAAAAAAATCAATCAAAATGGAGGCCATGCATCTCAGTTATGTAAAGTATTGTTCCAGTTATCTATTTTGCTGTGATGGTCAATTTTGATTGTCACCTTTGTTGGATTAAGAGACACCTAGGATATTAGTAAAGCCAAGCTCTGTGTGTGTCAGTGAGGACCTTTCCAGAGAAGACTAGATCATGACGGTTCTGACCTAACAATTGGTTAAATCCATTGATGGACTCCTAAGTTAATAAACTGTTGAAACTGTGGGAGGTGGGGCCTGTTTGGAGGAAGTAGGTCACTGAGGGTGTTTCCTCGGGGCTCTGTCTTGCCCTGGTCTCTTCTTGCAATTGTTCCTCTCTGATTCCTATCTGCCATAATGGATTGAAAACTCTGAAACTGAGCAAAATAAGTCTTTCCTCCGTCAAGTCATTTCTGTCAGGTATTTGGGAACATCTGTGATAAAACTAACTAATAACCTAATTGGAATTTGACAAAGGCATCCCGAAACAGTGACTTGAAACAGCGTTTATTTGCTCAGGCATTTTAAGAGTACGAACAGTTCTCCTTTGAGGTCTTTCATGGTCAGAAGTGTGATCTCAAAAGCTTTTCTTTCACATTTGCCTGTGGGCTGGGATGATTCAAGCACTGGACCAGAGTTAGGGAGCATCTCTCTGTTCCCATGGATCTCTCTCTCCACATGGCCTTCCTGCATAGCACCCTCAGAGTAGCCAACTTGTAACATAGTAGCTGAAGGCCCCCAGCTCAAGTATCCCAAGAGAAATAGCAAAAGTTGCATCTTTTTTTTGTGTGTGTGCAGTACTGGGCATTGAACCTAGGGCCTGGTGCATGGTAGGCAACTACTCCACCACTGAGCTAAGCCCCACCCTGTTCATCCTTTTTCTGAGACAGGGTCTCATTAAGTAGCCCAGGCTGGCTTTGAACTTGTGATCCTCAGCCTCCTGGGTAGCTGGATTACAGTGTGAATTACCATGCCAGTCTTGATTATGGTCATGGTTCAGCAGCATATATACATATGCCTGTACACTTTAAATATGTGTGGTTTAAGTATCAGTTACATTTCAGTTAAGGTTTTTTTTTTAATCTAGTGGGCAGTGTGGACAGCTAATTGAGATTGTTTGGTTAATGAAGACTTACTGAGAAGGTCTCACATTTGAGCTGAATACCAAGGAGGTATCTGAGGGCAGAGCAGACGCATACGGTTGAGGCAGCATGGTGGCCAGTGTGGCTGCAGCACAGGCAGACTAGGATGTCTCAGACCTGCAGTCCATGGTAAGAGAGCAGGGAATCCATCAACTGAAGTGCCTCTTACATCTCTTAAAAAAAGAAATTACTGGGGTTTGAACTCAGAGCTTTATCCTTACTTTTTAGACAGACTGCTTGAGCCAGCCCTTTTTGCTTTCGGAGATAGGATCTCACTTTTACCTAGGCTGGCCTGGGCCACAGTCTTCCTGTTTTTAAGGCTTCCTGTCATTGCTGAGGAAACAGGCATGCACTACCATGCCCAGTTTTTCCCCTCATCGAGATGGTGAAAGCAACTCAAAAGTTGTGAGTCGAATAGCCAAGGCAATACTCAGTCAAAAGAACAATGCAGGAGGTATCACAATACCTGACTTCAAACTATATTACAAAGCATGGTACTGGCACAAAAACAGACATGAAGACCAGTCGAACAGAATAGAGGACCCAGATGTAAAGCCACACAACTATAAGCAACTTATCTTTGACAAAGGAGCTAAAAATATACGATGGAGAAATAGTAGCCTCTTCAACAAAAACTGCTGGGAAAACTGGTTAGCAGTCTGCAAAAAACTGAAACTAGATCCATGTATATCACCTTATACCAAGATTAACTCAAAATGGATCAAGGATCTTAATATCAGACCCCAAACTCTTAAGTTGATACAAGAAAGAGTAGGAAATACTCTGGAGTTAGTAGGTATAGGTAAGAACTTTCTCAATGAAACCCCAGCAGCACAGCAACTAAGAGATAGCATAGATAAATGGGACCTCATAAAACTAAAAAGCTTCTGTTCATCAAAAGAAATGGTCTCTAAACTGAAGAGAACCCCACAGAGTGGGAGAAAATATTTGCCAACTATACATCAGACAAAGGACTGATAACCAGAATATACAGGGAACTTAAAAAACTAAATTCTCCCAAAACTAATGAACCAATAAAGAAATGGGCACGTGAACTAAACAGAACTTTCTCAAAAGAAGAAATTCAAATGGCCAGAAAACACATGAAAAAATGCTCACCATCTCTAACAATAAAGGAAATGCAAATTAAAACCACACTAAGATTCCACCTCACACCTGTTAGAATAGCTATCATCAGCAACACCACCAACAACAGGTATTGGCGAGGATGCGGGGAAAAAGGAACTCTCTTACACTGTTGGTGGGAATGTAGACTAGTACAACCACTCTGGAAAAAATTTGGAGGCTACTTAAAAAGCTGGACATCAATCTACCATTTGATCCAGCAATACCACTCTTGGGGATATACCCAAAAGACTGTTACTCCAGAGGCACCTGCACATCCATGTTTATTGCGGCACTATTCACAATAGCCAAGTTATGGAAACAGCCAAGATGCCCCAGCACTGATGAATGGATTAAGAAAATGTGGTATCTATTCACAATGGAATTTTATGCAGCCATGAAGAAAAACGAAATGTTATCATTCGCTGGTAAATGGATGGAATTGGAGAACATCATTCTGAGTGAGGTTAGCCTGGCTCAAAAGACCAAAAATCGTATGTTCTCCCTCATATGTGGACATTAGATCAAGGGCAAACACAACAAGGGCATTGGACTTTGAGCACATGATAAAAGCAAGAGCACACAAGGGAGGGGTGAGGATAGGTAAGACACCTAAAAAACTAGCTAGCATTTGTTGCCCTTAATGCAGAGAAAGTAAAGCAGATACCTTAAAGCAACTGAGGCCAATAGGAAAAGGGGACCAGGTACTAGAGAAAAGGTTAGATCAAAAAGAATTAACCTAGAAGGTAACACCCACGCACAGGAAATCAATGTGAGTCAATGCCCTGTATAGCTATCCTTATCTCAACCAGCAAAAACCCTTGTTCCTTCTTATTATTGCTTATACTCTCTCTACAACAAAATTAGAGATAAGGGCAAAATAGTTTCTGCTGGGTATTGAGTGGGGGGAGAGGGAGGGGGCGGCGTGGGTGGTAAGGGAGGGGGTAGGGGCAGGGGTTAGAAATGAACCAAGCCTTGTATGCACATATGTATAATAAAAGAAAAATGAAAAAAAAAAGTTGTGAGCAACTTTTTCCTGGCTGGCTTGGAGCTATGATCCTTCTGATCTCAGCCTCCCTTGTAGCTTGGGATGACAGCACATTCCATTGTGCCATGCTATTGGTTGAGGTGGTGTCTCACAAACTATTTGCCTAGGGTGGCTCAAACTTCAATCCTTTTGATCTCAGCCTCCAAATTAGCAAGGATTATAGGCGTGAGCCACTGGCGACAGCCCATATCTCTTAAGAATCAGTGCAGGCACCAGAAGAGCCACCCTGCATCCTACTCTATAACCTACTGAGATGGCTGCTTTTTTTCCTCCATTCCAGAGATCTGCTGTGGAGAATTGTAAAGTGTAGGTAGAATGGTGGTGAGCAGGTGAGTGGGCCACTTAGCTTTTACATTCCTTTTGTTCTCTTCCACTGCAGCTTTTCCTTCCCTCCATGAGAAAGAAGCCAGCTGTGGCTGGTGGCAGCAACCCTGACAACAATCTTCTCCAGGACCACTGGCTGGTTAACAACATGTTCACCTTTGAGAATGTGGGTTTCACCAAGGACGTGGGCAACATCAAATTTCTGGTCTGTGCAGACTGTGAAATTGGACCCATTTGTTGGCACTGCCTAGCTGACAAGAACACTTTCTATGTGGCCTTGGAACCAGTTTCCCGTGAGTAATTGAGGGACTGGGGACTCAGCTCCACCCACAACTAGAAGTAGCATTGAACCTGGTATAACTGTTGTGCTGCCATATTTTCTGTACTGTTACAAACCTGGAGCCCCAACATGTGCCCCTGAACACATAAACGGCCAGTGCTGCTTCCTTCAAGCCTGGGTGCTTCCTGCTTTGTCCACTTTGCATCACATGTCCTAGCCTTCCATTCCCCCAGTTTGGGACAGTTTTGTTGTATCTTCACAAACCTAGCCTCATCACTGGCATTCTGCCCAGGGTCTCTGTTACTAAGGGCTCTCTTTTTCTTGCTCTAAAAGAGCAGTATCCAACTTTTTACCCATGATGACATGTGACAAAAGATGCTCGTGTGCTGATAGTTGAAACTCCTTTTTCTTGAGAGTAACTTTGTTGTATGACTAACCTAATATTCTACAGTAATTACTTCTAAAAGTAAAATATTTACAAAATTCAGTATTTAAACCACTATTCAGAAGCACCTTGCTTTAGACACATCTCAGATAGTGTGTTTGAGAGCCATTGCTCTGGGTTGATATTGATGCTTTGTTGTGAAGATGAATGTGCCCTTCTTCCATTCTAATCTTGATGTGGGTTCTCTTTATTGGCTCCTCACTTATGCTTTATCTATTGAGAATCAGATTATCAACCCCAGGGAACACAGCCCTAGCTGTTTACCAGGCTGTCTTGGAGTCAAAGCAGAGGGTATAGAATATGCACGGGATAGGCTTTGCCAATTTATAGCTGAGTTTATAGGGCCTCTCATCAGGACAGGCATTTGCTGAACACACTGGGCATGGTCCTCAGAGTTGTGTTTCAATTTGAATTTCTATACCAATTCAGAATACATTTTTTTCTACCAAAATGTCTCTACTTCTGTTGCTGTGGGCTTGCTCTAATCATTTGATATTATAGAATTTAAGTCTTCGATATGATGTTCATGAGTGTGTCAGTTCATTTCTCTTCTGAAATTACTTACCATCTTAGAAGGAATCTTCATAGCTAGATTTCGGGTATCCTACCATTATACCTTCCTCTGGAGGGCTGAAATTGAAATAAGGACTACATAGTCACCTTACCATCTAAAGTCCCTTCTTTTGCATCTGTTTTCTGTTGTTTCCTCTTCTCCTCTCCAAAAATTTTTAAGGGCTTCACCACTAAAGTGCAGGCCTCATACTCAGTTTTGCAACCAAATTGCTCACCTAGAAAGCGTCTTCCTTCCCCAGTCAGAGCCTGAATGAGCTCCAGCAAAAATTGAGAGAACTGTGACCAACCTCACATTATTATGACATTTTCAGAAAAATGATGGAACTACCCACTCAGGTCAGAAGGCACAAAAAAAAGCAAATGCCACTAGGGGCATAGGGCCCTCACATCACAAGCCAAAACCTAAGCTAAGCATTTTTTAAGTTCAGACTTTAACATTCCTTGTTTTATAATCATAGAAATAGTACATATTTGTTGCAGATAAACTTAAAAATGTATATAAATTTTAAATTAATTCACACTTCCATCATCCAGAGATTGCCAGTGGTAATGTATATATATTTCTCAATGTTTTTCTATATATGTACATAAATATGTTCAGTTTTTAAAAACAAATATGCGATCATAACTTGCTGTTTTAATTTAACAACATAGGGTGAACATCTACTATGTTAGTAGATACCCACCCGTGTATACCATTGTTACTGGCATTCTATTACTTCACTGCACTGTAGCTTACTTATATCATCCATTTTAGTGTTGTCTGCAGTTCCTTATGAACAATGACAAGTGTGCAACTCTAGTTACATCTGCATCCACATTCTTAGTTCTGGCATGCATCATGAGAGGTGGATGCCATCAAGGCTCTGTTGTATTGACACATTTTCATCAAAACGAGCTATTCTTGCCTCCAATGGCATAAAAGAGGGTAAAGAGAAAAGGGTTCAGAACTCTTACTAAGACTTACTAAGTTCTTACTAAGAGTAAGAACTCTTACTAAGACTGGGTATCATCATTAAAACATATTTTATGGGCTGGGGATGTAGCTCAACAGTAGAGCACTTGCCTAGCCTAGGCCTGGGCTTGGTCCCCACCATCACAAAAAAGAAAAAAAAAGCTAATTTAACAGAAGAAATAGCTTTTTTGTCTTTATTTGCATTTATTTTAGTTCTAGTACAAATTTTATATACTTACTGGTCAATTGTGTTTCCTTTTTTGAGAATTGCCAGACATTGTTGGTTCAGTAACCAAAAATGCTGAGTTCCTATTCTGCCTTTTCAGTTTGATTTGAAAGAAATAAAGGCAGTGGGAATTATAGTCCTGTGTGCCCTTGGGAAGAATGTATAATTTGAAAAGGCAGAGTAGAGCTGAAAGCTGAACCTTAGGGATTAGCTTGAGGTTTGTTAACTAGTAGACTAACCACTAAGTATCTGGCATAAAATAATACCATCTCTTCATTTCTCTCATGCACAGTATGTTCTCAACAAATATTTGTGAATCAGTTAACTGCTGTTTCCTGTAGGTAGCTAGAGGTAACTCATGGTTACTACTAGGAGTATAGAAACCTGAAATTCTAGGCTGCAGGTGTGGGTCATTGGTAGAGTTCCTGCTTGGCATGCACAAGGCCCTGGGGTCAATTCCCAGCACCAAACAAACAAGCAAAACAAGCTGTAATTCCTGTTGGGCAGAGCGATTGATTTTGCCAAGGCCTAATTGTTTGTACAAAATTGACTTTTTAAAAGAGAATCAAAGATGCACAATGGTGTACTGACATTTTACGTACTGTCACCACATTGTGTTTGAGGCTTTTTAATTAATACATAACTAACACATATCACCAGGACTTCTCCTGGTATGGTGGGTAGGTGATTTGGACTGACTATCCCACTGAGAGAAACTAGACAGGCTAGAAAAAATATTTTAAAAATCCATGTGACTCTTGTGGGGATGGCATCTAGGGGCATCACAGTGGCCCAGGGTTTGACATTCCATAGTAATCTTCCCTACAGTACAGCCTCTAGCAAAACTTACCCCAGTTACGGAATAGTTTACCTTTATACCAGAAAGTTGGGGAAAGCACCAATATCTGCATGTGATGAGTGCTCAGACAAGTTTGAGGGGTTCATGCCATGGGATCTGAATTTGAGACTAAGGTAGAAAACCCACATCAGCAGGGCCTGTGTGGGTTCCAGCGACAGGATCAAGTTTGCTTTCCTTATCAGGGAACACAACATTGTAAAATGCTGACGGTACAGAGTCAGAAACCCAAATTAAAAATGAAGCTTTTATGAGTAATTTTTTTAAAAAATCGAAAGGCTAAAATAAAATTTAAAACCTGTTTGAAGGCATCACAGGACTGACAAGATTTTGAAGGATTGCTGGACCAGGACCCCAAGGAGATGGAGGCCTTTGGAAGGTAGGCCACTCTTCTCCTGACACATTTGCCAAACTTGGAGACAATTCAGAGACTGATCAGTGACTTCGGGTTTTTAAGGTGTTGGGAATTGAACCCAAGGCCTCACATATGCTAAGTACATGCTCTACCACTGAACTACACCCCAGTCCCAACATCTGTGATTTCACAGCTTTCCAGAAGTTGGGGCCAGGGCCTGTCAAAAGATGCTAGACCTGTTGATGTCCCTTCACTTTGGATAGAGGCTAACAGTCCTTTACACCCCCTGGAAGGGTGAATGAGAAGTAGGAAATAGACTCTTTCAGGGGATTTCAGCCCAGCCTCCAGTTAGCTAAGCCTTGAAATTATGTGATCCCAGAGTAGTACTTTCCCCAAACCCTTGGCATAAGCAAATAAAAACTCTTTCCAGAGGAAAATACTGTCATCCTGTACCTCAGATTATTTCTACAATTTTGCTAATGCAGTATCCTGAATACAACAAGATATAATCATGCATAAGGAAAAACATAATAAGAAAACTAGCAAAACAAGACTCGATGCAAACAGGCCCATGGTGGCTAGAAATACTGGAGGTATCAAACACAGACCTTAAAATAACTGCTTACTGTGTTCAAGGAGATACACAAGTGTGGGAATTTCAGCATATACCTGCACATCTCTCCTTTTTTTTTTTTTAAATGCATTATAGAACTTTTTGGAAATCTATTAACTCTTGTAGTTCCAGCTACTTGGGAGCTGAGGCTGGAGAGTCACTTGAACCCAGGAGTTCAAGACCAGCCAGGGCAACATAGCAAGAGCTTGTTTCTTTAAAAAAAAAAAAAAAAGTAAAAATCCAATAACCAGAATTAAGATTTCAGAGGAAGGTTTTTTTTTTTTTTTTTGTGGGGCTGAGATTTGAACTCAGGAGTTCAAGCTTACAAAGGAGGTGCTCTACAGCTTGAGCTACACTTTAGTCCATTTTGCTGTAGTTATTTTGGAGATGGGGTTTTCTGAAGTATTTGCCCAGGCTGGCCTTGAACTGAGATCCTCCAATCTCAGCCTCCCAAGTAGCTAGTATTGCAGGTGTGAGCCACCAGTGATTGGCCAGTGGAAGGTTTTAAGAAAAGATGGGAGCATAGCTGAAGAGAACTAAAAAACTGGGAGCTAGGTATGCTAATGACTGCAACACAAAGCCTCATACATCAGTACTGAGAGAAAGTAAATTCACGGAGCCAGAAAACTACAGCCCACAGACCAAATCCATTCAGCCAACATCTGATTTATTAAGATTCAAGAGCCTGTAGGCCAAGAATGGTTTTTGCTTTTTTTTTTTTTCTTCTTATTCTGCAGTGCTAGTGGTGGAACCCAGGTATTTGTGCATGCTAGGCAAGTGCTCTACCACTGAATTACATCCTCAGCCCCAGTTTTTACATTTTTTAATGGTTATAGGAGAATCTACATAATATTCTCAATTTTCCCTCTCAGCCCACACAGCCTAAACTACTTGTTACCAATTCCTTTAAGAAAATAGTTTTTTGACTCCTAACTAATATTGTAAACATGCCAACTCTCCCCAACTGATAGATAAATTCATTAAAATCGCAAACGTGTCATTCAACAGACTGATTCTAACAGTTATATAACAATGTAGAGGACCAAGATGAGTCAGGACAGTAGTGGGGAAGAGCAAAGAGGGGGAATTTCATTATTGGATAGACAGTGTAGCTTGTAACAGGATTGACATAGTCTAGTAAAAATAGCTCAGAAACAAACCCATGCATATGGAGAAAGGGGTAATAATTTTGAGGGGACATGCAAAGTGTCTCTGCAATGCTGGTCATGTCCAGTTTTATATCTTGGTAGTGGTTATATAATTGTTGAGCTGTTCTTTTGCACATTTTTAAAATAAATGTTATATTTTCACAATAAAAAGGGTTTATCTTTTTTATTTTATTTTTGCAGTACTGAAGATCATGCCTGGGCTTTACACATGCTAGGCCAGCACTCTATCACTCATCTATACCACCAGTCCAATGAAAAGGTTTTTTAAAGAATGTAACCAATGGTCCTATATAAAGCCTGTGTTCCCTAAATATCAGTTTTTCTCTTCAAAATCGGATGATACTTCATTTCCCCATATCTCCTCATCCTACACACACCAAAAATTTCAATCCATCCCAGGCGTGGTAGCACAGGCCTGTAAACCAAGTACTTAGGAGACTAAGGCAGGAGGACCAAGCATTCCAGACCAGCCTCCACTACCTAGTGAGTTCCAGGTCAGCCCGGGCTACATGGACCCTATGTCAAATCCTGTCTAAAATAAATAAAATAAGATACAAAATAAATAGATAAAATAAAATACAAAAATAAATTCTACTGAATGCTCTACCATTTCTGTTGTGATGGTGCTGGGAATCAAACCCAGAGCCTTGTGTATGCTAGGGCAAGTCCTCTATCAGGGAGCTATACCTCCAGCACTTCTATATCATTTTAATGGGACTAATTTAAAATAGTTGGCACATATTTTTGAAAATGGAGTTAGAGGTTAGAGTGAATTCCTGATGCAGGAATAGTGAGTAAGAGTAGGGGGCAAATAGCCCCCTACTCTATTTATAGCCCTCTACTATTTATAGAGGATAAATAGCCAGGAGAGGCATGGAAAATTTGTTATTGGATAGACAGTGTAGCTTGTAACAATGATAGACATAGTCTAGTAAAACAAAATAGCTCAGAAACAAACCCATGCATTTGGAGAAAGGGGGTAATGATTTTGAGGGGACTTGAAAAGTGTCTCTTCAATGCTGGTCATGTCCAGTTTTATATTTTACAGCAAAGGACTTGTTCCTGACATTCACAATCAGAATCGTTTGTTATAGCACTGCTTTTATCACACTGAAGCTCACCTACTGATGCTCCTCATGTTTTATCCTGATCGTCCCTCTAAAGTTCTGGTTATGCCAAAAGCGAAAAAAAAAAAAAAGCAAGAAAATGTTTCCCTGCTTTCTCTTCCTTTACTGAGCAATCCCTCCCAGGACCAACATCCTTCCTTCACCTGCAGTTGTCCTGCCTGATCATCTTTGCAGTGCCTTCCTCAGAAAAAGTGGTTCCCAAAGTTGGGTGCCTGCACAGAGGTCTCAGCATCTCCTAGGAATTGGTTCTTAATCTTTCCCTTCTCAGGAAGACACTATTTTTTGCCTTGTGGCATCTCTCAGAGTGAGAGAAGATGAAGTCAGTGTGGGGTGAGTCCCTGCAGTTTGGCTCTGCAGGAAGTTATGACTACTCAGGTGTGAGAGCCCCACCTGTGAACATCAGATGCTGATCTGATCTGGAGCCATGTCCAAGCATCATTATGTTGATAGTTTCCCCAAGTGAATGGATCTAGGGTGGCAGCCAGGGCAACAACCCATTGTCCCTTTCACCATTTCTGGTCAAGAAGCAGCTAAAATATGGCCCCTTCTCAATGCTGTATCTGGATTTCTCTTTCATAACCTTATTGTTTTAAACATAATTTTCTTAATTATAGTCAACTTAAAAACACATGTGGTTCCATATCAGGCTGCTCAGTATCCTGCCAGTTATGTTGTTGAGAGTCAAATGCTTTGCTTCACGAAGATAGGGCCTTTGATTTGAGCAGGCCGGGGATTCAAACAGGAGCCCCCGGAAGGAGTTTGTATGCTGTATTATCCACTGCATCCATCAGCCAGTCAGTCAGCCCCCATCATCATAATCATCATCACCAGCAGCAGCAGCTCACTGTGGTGGGTTTTATACCAACACAGACAAAAGTGGCATCTAGTCAAGTCATTACATCTACTGTGCATGGGAATCCAGCCATTGGTTACAACTAGTTGTCGTCCTTGAGTGGTTACTTAGTAACAGCATACTTATCTGTGGAATGCGTGTGAGTTCAGGCGATCACTTAGTAATCACTTTCCTCACAACACATAAAACCCCTTTCAGAATATTTGCACTTTACTAACCTTCTGTGACTTGCTTACACCCTCTACAACTTTATTAAGCCTTTAATTCTTTGTCCTTTCTTCCCAGTTTAGCACAATCTGGCAATTTTATTTTTAGAAAAAAAATCCTTTCTTATCCAAAACATTTTTGACTTTTAAAAATATATCCCCATACTTATAACTTTCTTTTAGCATTTTTCTCTGACTACCCTGTTTCTCACTTAAGATTTACATTTTGCCTTACAAAATTACTCCTTTTTCTGTAAGATAAAATAATTAGAATTTTCTCTCTTAGTAATCTTAACTTTGAAGACCCAGGAAGAATATGATCTTAAGTTAGTTTTCTATGTATACCAACAATTTATGACAACACACTTAATAGACCCAGGTAGACCGAAAGTCTTTTTATAGACTTTAAGAAGCCAAGGGAATTTGAATTTATATTTAGCAATTGGTGCTTCAGTATTTTAACTTTTATTATACAGTGATAAACATTTATCCCATTTATAGTTATCAAATTTACTCATTCTTCTGAGTTACTCATGGAAAGACGGAGGCATTAAACAAAGCTAGGTAGCCATCATCTAATCACTTTTCACAATAATATATCTCTGTGTCCCACGGGAAGGAGAAGGACACCTAGCAGCATCCTGGGGGGCCCCAGGCAGGCCTAAGCCATCCTGCCTCATCTGCCACTTATCAGCACAGATGCATAGCACTACAGGTACCCACTGCCACATAGTGATTTATTTCAACACCAGGAGAAACCAGCTGAGCTCCATTTGACCTAACTGAAGGTGAATCAGAACTGTTTCTTTTTTCAGTTAAGATATTAATTTACTCAGTACTAACCAGACCTTAAAAGGCAATATCAAGGTTCAGTTACAATAAATATATTTAATCTCTTAATAGCTAACCATTTTTATAGCATGTGAATGTTAAGCAGTCTTGTCTTAAGCAGAGTCTAATCTGAAGTAAACATCTACTTTTTAGTCTCAGAAGAGGAGAGACGAGCAGCTCGCTTTTAAGTCACTTTCGTTGCGCTAGACAGGTGTTTCTCTTCAACAAGAGCTTTTAGGATTCCAACTGAAGGCTGGAAGCCCATAGAAACTTCCTGAGGACAAAAGATTGCTGAGTTTGGGAACTTCCAACCCTATTTCTTTCTTTGGAGTAAGCTTGTGCTTTTGAGAAGTTTGATGTTTTCCAGTCCCTTCTCTCCACCTTCCAATTGTGGTTTTAATTATAAAATTGTCCCCTCCTGGCCATCATACTGGACATAAGTTATTTTGTTCTACATTAGGTGGGAAATGTGAACTGTTTTCAGTGTTTCTGAGGAGGATAGATCAGATGAGCAGGATCCAGGAGTTCAGAGATAAATACTGTTTTAATGAATAGCTTGATTAAAAGCACATAAGCACTATTTTTTTTCTTTAAGCCTTAAATACCTCCCTCATAAACTGCAACATTTAGTGAAAAGAAAAAAGGGGTGGGGAAGAGCAGCTCTCTCTCTCTCCATCTGACTGTCCATTTGCACAAATAGAGTGCTTTGGGAAATGAACAAAACACTGATTCTGGGGGAAAACACTTGGGACAATGACTTCTTTGGTCATAAAAGTGCTTGCAAAGAAAAATATTTCTCTCAAGAATGGACACCTGTTTAAAAAGGAGCATCTGGCAGCATCCATCCTTTGTTTAAAGGGATGTTCAAACATCTATGTGGTAATGACCCAAATTTAATGAACAGACCAATCTTAGTATCTCTACATCCATTATGAAACAGTGTAACAACAAAAATGATTAAAGAAACCGAGTGTTCATAACAAAGGGGAGCACTTACCCTAAGACAAATTAGGCCAAATCCCAAACCCACTTTTTCACCATAAAAACTCCTAATACAACAGTACTCAGTGTACCTGCTATCAGTTGTGCCCACCATTATGTCTGAGTTGTGTACCCTCATTTCTTTGCTTTTCTTTACTAATAAACTTTTCTGGTCTCTACCTCTGTGTCCCAAAATTCTTTTTTTTTTTCACACACTCAGTTCATAAGGGCCAGAAAGAGGCCTCTTCCCCTTTGGAGACCTCCTCCCAGGAGTATCACCAGTTCTGATAACATCTCTACCATTTTTAGTTGACAAAGAGATAAGTAGGTAAGAGTGGAAAGGACGAAAGGGGGTAACAGGGAAAATCAAGTCTCAAAAGAGGAAAAGAATGGAGAAGGGGAGAGAGAAACAGGGAGAATCAGAAACACTCACAAAACAGAGGTGTGCCAGATTTAGAATTTCCAGAAAAGCCTACAGAGACTACTGGAGAAATGTTACCTGAGAGGCAGTTTAAAATACTGGGGTTCTCAAACCTGGAGGTGTTGTGGCCTCAGCCTGCCTCTCTGAAGGTGTCTACAAGGGAACACAAAGTCAGAACAGTGACAACCTCAATCCACCCTTACTGAGGTTGCATACTGTATAATTCAGATTACAAATCACACTAAGATAACAGACAACACTGAACAGAAACAAGAGGAAGAAAAGCTACCAGAATAGAGGGTGGGGAGAAAAGTGGGCAGGGACAAAGCACCCTTTGGTAGGGAGAAGCACACAGGTGGAACAGCGGTGGCAGAGCCTACTGGTTGTGTTGACATTGAAAGGCTCAGGTGGCTGCTGGTCAGCCATAAGGCAGGTGTGCACCAATTATCACCACTGTCAGTCCTTTTCCTTGGGACCCTATAAAGGGAGAGTCTTACTAGAGTCGCCCATGATAGCAATCAACTCAGGGTGGGTTTTTTTGGTTTTTTCTCAATTCAAGGTAGAAATCATGAAGAGGCAAATACCATCTTTATTGGCATTTTTGCTGGACCTTATGGGAGGCAGGACAAGGATACAGTGTCTTTCCCTTTAAGGCAGTGAAGAGGAAAGTTCTGTAATGTGAGAGGTTCTCTATTGCCACCCCAGGGGCAGTCAGAGCCAGGCATTCTGTGCTTCAAACTTTGAAGGAAGCAGGTAGTACAAATAGGCAAGGCCAGTTTGGCAGGATGTA